ACCAGAATTCTGCTTTCATATAAAGTCGTATGTTCACAAACTTGTTATCCAAGAGGATGCCTATTAGAAATACTTCTCCGTTATATTGGCATACACCTTTGTTAAAGGTCGGCTGTAGTGTAGAATAAGATATGGCACAAGAAGATGCATCGCTACGGTGCCAGATGTTTGCCAAAATTCAGTGTTTAAAATTCTTTATGAATTCATTCATGAAATTCAGTGTTTTAAAAATTCTTTATGAAATTCATTTTTTTTCAAGTCGTTATTATTTTAAGAAGCAGGATATTCTTTTATTACCGTCGGCCTTGCTAGTACGACAATTGTTATTGAATAAATTAAAAAATAAATAAAAAATGTGCTTCATTATATATATATGAAGGGAAAGCACCCACCTATTGATAAGTAATCCCCGCTGTTTTATTCCCGTTAAACATTTGTATACCGTGGCCTAGGGGCTCACGAATGTAGAAGCTCACTCAAGTATATAAATATCAATTTTTTTGTAAACCTTAGTATTTTCCGAATGAAATTTGTTTCTATTATTTCTATGATTTTTGTCGGTCAATAAAAATTAAACAGAGCGCTAGATTCGTACTGACAATCAATATTTTCCGTTTTTTAAAGAAATTTTTAAATATTTTTAGTCGATATGTTAAATTTAACTTGAGCAATGGGAGCAGATATCAGCAAAGAAGATGCGGATGATTTTTAAGCAAAAATATCGAGAAAAATATGGCGTGGATATATCGGACGCAGACTTATTAGAGGAATATCGCATGGCTAAACTAAAAGCTGACAGGAGACAACGAGAGCAATCTCTGGAAATGAAGGCAGAAGACGAGATGAATATTCTGGAAGAAGTACGGACCCTCAAACAAGCCAAAGAGGATCTTACGCACGTAAAAAACAAGATGACAATTTACGGATAATGAAAACTACTTATGAAAGTAGAAAAGGCGAAAATAGACACAGACATGATCGTTCCCAACGATCGTCAAGACATCGAGATGAAAGTGCGAAGGGATCGTGACCGACGCTCATCGGAGGGTAAGACATATATTTTTTTAAAAGGTGCGGTTACGTTCACGAAAATTTATGAGTATGCATGGAGTCTTGCGCGTTTCGGCTAAAAAGGCCCAGGCTAAAATCTTACCGAGTTTGACCTCAAATAGCCTCGGCGTGTTTTGCTACCAACATTAAGTTGATTCGTTCTATCAACAGAGCATTTCTATCGTTTTCCTGCCATCCAATATAAATAGAAATCCTATCATCCTATCCTTTATATAAAAAAATTATAAGCCTACGTACGATCGATATCCAGCTTCGTGTATATTACGCCTGCTATTCGACCTAGATCTTTATTTCGCTGGTATTTGGCTTAGCAAGAGCATGGCTAGTTCTGGTACCTCGAATTCTTATATATATATACTATGATCTAATTTCTAAATTCTGAAATGTTCACAGTGCTATTAGCCGTAGGAACAAGCCATCTTACCAGCTTCTATTCTCCCCACTCATTATTTTCCTAAATAAATGTGTCGATTACCTCTATACTCAAAATATATGCTTGTATATTTTCGCAGCATTTCGAACTTAATTTCATCGACAATGTAGCTCACGTGTTAAAATACATTCGACGTACGTCGTCGTACATTTTAACCAAAACATCTCGAACTCAGGCACCAGTGGAGTATCCCGGACATACATGAAAAATACATAAAACGGCTTTGGAATAGTTATTATTTTTCATTAGGGTTATACGGTTATCCAATATAGTAATCGTCTTATATCCCGTACCCGCGATCTTTTAATACCTTTACGAGCGATCGATGTGGGTTTTTCAGTTAATTTAATCCAAACGGTGAGAGTATTACGTTGGAGTATTTCGCCCAGGTGTCACGTGAAAAATGAGCTTTCAGCTTATGAGTCTGAAATTGATACAAAGTATGAAAGGTTTTCAAGCGGAGGAAGGTGATTAGATATATTTATTTTGAGGGACAGGAAAGGGTAAATTATCGACTATATCAGAGTTTACGATATATTAAATAAAGGGTGTTATTTTGTAACCATTAACTGACTTTCTTGCCGTGTAATTGACCATAATTGACAGCCCACGTCGATCGAGAAATGAATTTTTTTTATCGACCGGACTGTATCGTTTCGAATTTGATTGGACTGTTGTTATGGCAACCAGACAAACGACGTAAAATGTAAATACGCTTGGTAAAAATATAACGTTGTCATGGTATTTCTACCTAACCATTTTTATCATACGCACAAAAATTGACAATGTAAATTCACTACAGTACTTGGTTCAAAAAATGAACTGAATTACCGGTGATTATTCATTGTTTAACGGTTGACTGAATTTCTATACCACATGATTTTAAAAATTTGTCGACATCTTAGAAGTATGAGAACTGAAACACACCAAATACCTATATTTGTCATAATTATGGGGTTTATACTAGTAACATACTAAGCTGAATGAATATTGTAACGACTTCCGTTCTTGCGTGGATCATGGATAGTTTATCTGATTGATTGATTGAATTGATTGGTTTAACGGTTGACTGAATTTCTATACCACATGATTTTAAAATTTGTCGACATCTTAGAAGTATGAGAACTGAAACACAACAAATACCTATATTTGTCATAATTATGGGGTTTATACTAGTAACATACTAAGCTGAATGAATATTGTAACGACTTCCGTTCTTGCGTGGATCATGGATAGTTTATCTATTCAAATTGAAGGATTGCCCAATGTTCCAGAACCGATTTTGTATTATATGATTTTGGTTCCAAATATTGAGGGCATTCCTGTGGCTAGCAAAATTACGAAATGTGGGGTTGGTATATCAGTATATACAGACATTATACTGTTATATGCAGATATAGTTGATGGTGGCATAGAGAAATATGGATAAAATAAATAGAGCTGTATGTCTAAGAGTATAGGGTATAGAGTTATAGCTGTATAATAGGTTATGAAAATAAATTCATTCACTGTGAATTACTACAGTACTAAATTTATCCCATGTGATGGGAAAGATGATGAAATGGTCAACTTTTGTTAATGTCCGACTGGTAGTTGCCGGTTTAGCTCAATTTTGGTCCCTCAATTTGGACAGTAGGATGTAGTAAATCCTGGAAAATGTCAGCCAGTATGACATTTCACAGTTCTGCAGTTGTAGATAGTCTACACAGAAGTGGTCAGGTCTGTAGGTGATTAATAAAAGAGGCCCTGGCAGTTAATCTGAAAATAATCACACTGGTTCTTAAGTGTGAGCTATGAAACACTGTTTTCAAGTTTTGCAGTGGTAGGATTTACATATTTATCCCGGGACCCGGGGGAGAGGAAAGTGATAAGGCGGCTCAATCATACGGCAAATTACCGGTCGGATTATCAGTCCTGACTCTAGTAATCTGATAAAGAGATTTAATCCTGTCTTGTCAGTTAGCTTGAACATTTGTTAAACGTGTGTTTGTGCGGGTTTCTGGGGTTTAGCCTAGATCTCCCATACGTCATAGGGGGCTGACTATTCAACACTTTACATGTAAGTTACACATTTTCGGCATAGCTGTAAAAATAAATTAGTAACTGACAGGCAAAGGTTAAATTGTATACAAGAAACGTTTTTTAAGTGAAGGTCCTTCTCTAAAAACTCTCAACTCTTGTGACTCTTGCATTGAACAACTGCTTCTGCTAATATTCATATCCTAAGTTAGGTCAAGTCAAATCTAGAGTGATCTATCCCATCTGCCTTCCCAATAAAATGTTTGAATTTCATATTCTTGTCATAGTCTTGTGCTCTTTTATTTAGGCATCGTGAACATTCTAGGCATTCATCTTCTGATTCATCTACTAAAGAAAATAAAAGAAAATCTCATCACTCGTCTAAATATTCACGATCATCTGAAAAAAGTTATGAAAGATCTTCCAAAAAAACAAGATCTGTCGATGATATGAATGTAAACTCACAAAATCGTAGCAGAGACAAGAGACATTCATCTAAATACAGGTTAATATTCCCCTTATCATTTTTGGCCCAAAGCTTTTTAGGGCCAGGCTATCTCTGACGCTCATCTGCCAGATTTGTCGCAATGTGAGATTTTATTAATAATCATAAGTCTACATGGCAGAACCCAACTGTATCTTGACTCCATGGAATTGTTTTTCATTAGCTATTCACGTGAAATAGCACAATAAAATGCAGAAATATAGAAAATAGATATTAGTCCTTAACACAGAATGAGCAAATGGGTAATTTGTTGGACCATACTTTGCAATAGCTTTTTGAATGAAATGTTAGCAGAAAATTGTTAAATACATATCAAACAGTTTGTTCAATCTTGCTCTCAAATTGTCCTCGAATTTTCAACATTATGTGGGAAGATTGAAAATATATCTCCTTGTTACCAGAAAACAAAAAACTAAACTCTTTAATCTGATTTTGAGCGGGGATGGGTGCAAGTCCCTAAATCCTGAGTCACGAGTCTGGGGTGGAGTCTAAAGCAAGGTTTTCCAAACTGGGGTCTGCGGACCCCAGGGTGACTGTGATGAATGCACACGGGATATGAGTCTAAAACATATACAAATAAATTATAATCTTATCAAATTTCTGTTAGCCAGCCAGTATTTAACATTAGTATTTATTGGTTCAGGCTTTCATGAGTTTTATTTCGTCAAAGGGAACATTATTCTTCCTTGTTGGTTAGGAACAGAAGGGGGTCCGTTAGAAATAAGATTCACAAACAGGGGTCCACGACCCAAAAAGTTTGGGAAACTCTGGTCTAAAATCAAGTCAATCACTGTGTTGAGTCTCAGTGGCGGTTAGTTGAGTCTGCGTCATTTCCTTAGGGAGAATGACTCTTTGATATAGTCGATTCAATGCCTCACTCAAACTCTTTTAACAATTGTTTTAAGTGTTACATTCGTGTCTGAATTATATGAATAGTTTTATTTTTTAAAGCAAATATATTTTAGGGATCGTTCAAGAAATTCTCGTTCTGAGTCTTCTGATGTAGAAATACAAAGGAAATCAACCAGAAAACCTCCTACAGAAAATCCGAAAAAGAAGTCTTCTCGTAAATCTGGCTCTGGAGATAAACATCAAAGATCGCAGAAGTAAGCTTTTCAGTCAGAGTTATCTTAATAGTATAAGCTGACAATACCAAATGCCACTTCACGCTTGCTATGATAATAATGATCAGGCCATAATTTTATTCTGATTTTCCTCATTTTAGTTCAATTACTAGTTTGGGGTCTGTCTGTGTGAGCCAAGGGAATATACCCCTTGCCCATAGGTTTCAGTCCCTTACAACTTGTGTAAAATAGGCGAACAAAATTAGTTACCTCCATAATTTATTGGTACACACACTTCTGGAGCGCTGATCATTTTGTATGGGTCTGCATGTTCGAATCCTGAGGGGTGATTCTGTGGAAGATGGTTGCATGACTAATCAAGGTTGCTAATTTGATTGTTGTCCTATTGGCCATTTGTGATTAATGTCCCCTGTAAAAATTGTATTATACAATATGAATGGATATAGAAAAAATAGCATTAACTTTGCTCAGAGATGAGTCTTTTTCACTCCTGAAAGTGTTGAATGTTTGTTACCTTGCTTTGAGCAAATCGCTTAAAAAAGTACATTTTCATCAACTTCTGAACTTTAGAGAATATAATAATATGTCAGGAGACTGTACAGAGTTGTACTTTACTTTTTTGTTCAAATTTTTTATCTTATAAAATTGAAATGGTGATTGAATGACGTGGCCCTTACAATAGACAGAATTATTTTGATTACTTGTCAATAATTATTTTTTTATTATTCAGAAGCCCAAGAAAAAGTGCAGTAGTGTCTCGAACAGATGATGAAGGGATGCATTCAAAGAAAGGTATCAATTTATTCAAAGCTTTATCAACATTTCACACGGAAACAATTTCGGTTATTGGCTTTATGCATGGGTGTCCAACAGGCGGCCTGCGAAGCCATTTAGTGTGGCCCTTGTCCACTCTCAAAATTTTCCCCATCAAAAATAAAATTCTAATCTGACAGTTTTTTGTTGGATAAGGTGCTCACATGAATACAAATACATAATGTTTTTAGTTTTTACCTATCGATTTTAATCGGTAAGTATGTTGATATCTCACGAAAGCGAGATTGAATCTGCTCCAGATTTTGCATGTGCATTCATCTTATCTCGGACCAGGAGCCTATTGATTTTGGGCGAATTAATTCGTATAATTAGCGAGTTATTGATTAATTAGTGATGGGACACAAAGTGTCACTATGGAGTAAGAGCGCTGTTTTGGGGGATCCCCTAACTTTCGATCGATAAGTCTTTGGTCTCTGATCGATATTCTCGTTTTGCTGTTGTCACTGCTTCAAATCTTTCACCAGTTTGCCTGATTCATGTATTACTTTACGACTTAGCTATTGCTGCATTCTCTTCTCCTGCGTTTTCCGCTGAATTGTTTCTGTGGCCCAGCTTAATGTCAGAAGTTGGTTATACAGCTCACAGACGAAAAACATTGCACACCTCTGGCTTAATGTATGTAGTAAATTTTCATGAATGAATAATTCATTATATGATTAAAAGTAGTCTTATTGGACACGTTTGGTGGACATAACGATCGTTTGGTTGTTCTTGGTGTTCTTGTTGTTCTTTGACACTTTTGGACACCTGGTGGAAATATTAAAAAAACGCTTTTTTCTTTGATTACTGGACCAATTGCTTGGAAATCTTTAGTGGTTAAAGATGAAATTTTTCTTCAGAAGGCTATTACTTTCATTTATTTCAAATATTTCTGTTAGCTCGGTGAGATTTGTTTTTGTTTGCTATGACGTCACTGAACGTTCTGCGGACATCGGACGCCATTTTGTGTCCGACCGTACTGCTTCGCTTGGTATGAATATATTTGTAGACTGTGATCTGACGGTACGGTAAACCGTACTGTACTGCGAACAGACGTGTTCATATATTTGGGTGTAGCTCTCTTGTTATCTTTCATCTACCTTTAGTAAATATGAAAACCCGATTCCGAAATGTGATTTTAGATATTGTATTACCATATTGTCAAAATTTCACAGATGACAAGAAATATGATGCAGAGCAGTCTGAAGTTAAAATGGGAAAAAAAAGAAAGGTTTGTAGATACCTTAATAAAGGAGTTAACGTTTTATTTACTTCCTATTGACAAGCCTATCTTGATTATCAACATAAGACTAGAGCTATGGTTCTCAAACTTTTTAAACCGCGCTCCTTTTTAGAATTTGTCAAGTCCCTTTTCCCACCTCAAAAATAACTAGCAAACAATGAACTAAATAAAGCAGATAGCAAGACGAAAGGATCTTTTAATAAAAAAACATATGTGACATATGAAAAACATATGAAAATATGTGACTGGAACGTAATCAACCAAAATACAAATATCCAATAGTCAAAAACAGACTAATATGTTTAATTAGCTTCACTCCCCCTCAAACAGTTGTCTACACTTCCTTGTTGGGATGCCCGCCACTGTTTGAGAACCACTGTACTAGTGGAATTATGGCATCAAAAATCACCCACGTTATTACTTGTCTGATTGCATGGTATACATTTTCATGGTCTCGGATCAGAAACCTTGATAACTGGTTGTTTGACCACTTTCCTTACATTTTGAATTTTAGACTTTTCTTCCTTTCCATATTCTATATTTGTATGCATATATTTCTTTACATTAGGGCTTACATTTTTTCTAACAAAATTTCAGAAGAAAAAGGTGAAGGCGTCTCATCACCAAAGTGCACCAGACCTGCTGGACGTCGACAGGCAATATGGTCGGGGGCCGTGGCAGCGTACACATGGATATTTTGATCAATATGGTCAAAGACCTCAATCATGGGTACAAGAAATATCTCAGGGGTATGTGCAGAATATACTACCATTTATCATACTTTATATGAACACTAGGCAGTGAATGACTTTGAAGAATTCTTTTCAACTGAAATCCCGAGGTGTCCAATACTCGTAATATTATGACTCTCACTCCTGATTTAAACAATTTTGGGGGCTGCCGAAGTATGCGAACCAAGATGGCGGACATCGGAATGTAATATGTGTACTAGGTTAGGGTTAGGCCATAATTTTAGGTATAAATACTACGGGAGGCTCTTGGCTAGTCTTCGAACTGATAATAGGACTAAAATAAGGAAAATTGGAAAAAAATTATCGCCTAACCCTAACCTGTTACCCATGTTACGTTTCGATGTCCGCCATCTTGGTTCGCATACTTCGGGAGCACCCAATTTTGACTAAGTGTCCCAACTCTGAGATAAGAAAAACTGTTATTTTGGAACCTAACATAGGTTGTAAAAAAGTTGACGCCGATTCGAGCTCCAAACTCCCAGAAAATCAAATTTCAATACCTAAAACTTTGTTATATGCAAGTCTCCTTTAATAGTCTGTTAACAATGCCTAATAAACTTAATTCACAACAAAATCTTGGAATAATTCATTAAACCAGTAGTTTTCAACCTTTTTAAGCCGCGCCCCTTTTTTGGAATTTGTCAAGTCTCGCGCCCCATGTCAAAAATAACTAGCTAACAATAAGCTACAAATAACGGATAGTAAGGCGAAAGTATGTTTTGTTCAAAAAAAATGTTGAAAATATGTGGATGGAACGTAAATAATGAAAAGTTTTGAATTGTAAATATCCAAAATAAGGCGGGCAAGATCAAATTCAAATCTAACATATTTTTATTTTTAATTAGCTTCATGTCCCCTCAAAAGACTTTGCCCCCACTTGTGGGGCGTGCTCCACCGTTTAAAAACCACTGCATTAAACAATCATTTTTCCAGTATTCACAAAGTTTTCCCAAATTTGTTGCACTTCTAATTAATATAGTATTGCTCAGTATTCATGAGCTCCATGCACAACTCTTTTCAGACAAAGTTCTACCCTGCCAGCTCCTGTAATGGAACGACAAATAATATATGGAATGCCTGCTACTTTACCAAGAGCTGTGGATGGACTCGGTTATCCATTGAAAGAACGGAGTCCAGGCTTCCAACCAGGTAACTATGTTTGCTTTTAAAAGCCATGCAGAATGAAATATGTCAAGTATTTTCACTTGAATTTTTATTTTATTGTTCGAAAGTTTTATGGCACACAATTTTTTATGCCGGGGTTCATGTTTTTTCTCCAAACAATGTGTTAGACAAGTGGTCTTCCTTCATCCTGAAATACCATGTACCAACTACTGATTACAGATTAGAGTCGCTTTTATGCTTATAGTATGCTTCGGTAAACTAAAATAATCTTGATTCTACTTTTTCTGACCAATTTATTTACCCTTGGATGAAATCATGTATTCTGGCTTAGAACATGACGTTCTGTTTAAACCAAAACTAATAAATTCTTGCAAACAAAGTATTTGTAGTCAATAACTTCTTACTATTGAACCAGGATTTAAAATTGAAGTGGGAACAGAACAGTTTTTAAATGGCTGAGAATATGATCAATTTTTAACCATGGTTACTGATTAATATTTGTAAGGTATCTTCGATTTCCTTTCAAAATTATATTGAATCTATTTCAGTGCCTTATCAAACCTACTTGATGCACAAGCCACAGAGACCACAAAGCATGGATTTGTAAGTAGAAATATATTTATACAACCACACCGTTTCGTTAATATCAATATTTAGTTAATATCATTTTGTCTTTCCAAAATAAATTATACAATTTAGTTATTTATTTGTTATTATCATTCCCAAAAAATTTATACAACGTAAACAATTTGGTTATAAGAACTCGACTATTCTTATACAGAGTATTCAAACTGAAATTAAATCCAGGTCAGATTTATAAAACAACTAATCTATTTGAATATGACATTCCTGCTATAATCCTTATTTCTCTCATTTATCCACAGATCATACACTCATCATGATTTTTCTTCATTGCCTCCGTCTACTGCCGTCCAATCACCCAACACCTCGATTAAATTACCTGCTGGAGCTGTACCTGCAGTTGGCCCGCGAGGGCCATTGACTTCCCCCATTGTGTACGTTTTGTTTTAGCATTTGTTACAATAAGCATTGTTATCATGCCTCTATATATTGTATGTATGTATGTTTATTTGCCTCAAAAATGTAACAGTAATTGCATAATAGTTGAACGGTATAAAAGAGACAGGTTACATGTTCAAGACCTTTCTGGCCTAACACACAGATGTGCGACATGCACCCCAACAAGTATAACTGCAGTGCAAGACTGCTCCGTTATAGTAGGACAACAGACATGAAATATACAAATAAAACTCTTGTACAATACACAGGACAAAGAGGTACGGCACCATGATGATATGTACAATAGGCAGTTTATGGCACATTCATGTTGTGAAGGGATGAGAATAGGGTATAAATCGCATTTTTGTGTGTTTTACAGTTGATCGTACGAAACAAGTGTTATAACAAGTATATATTTGTATATTGTCCATGTATGATGGCTATGAACAATGCTCTGTACAGCCACTGTAATGTAAGAAGCTATTGCACCCTGGATCATATTTGAATCAAATCTGATATTTTACCCTGCAATGCCAACATAGATAGGCCCATTAGCACTCGAATGGGGATTATGTTCTGGGCTTTTAGCCAGTTAATACAGAAGTTCCCAAACTTCACTTCCATGTTGCATTTATTTTCTGTAATACAAATCATGACAGGACATATTGGAGAAAAAATTTACTTTATAAATATCAAATTGTGGCAAGGAAAAGTGTTCTATTATGCACATTTAATTAATGCAATACATGTTGTGTTTTTGTGCACACAAAATGATCATAAGCACGACTGAACGTAAGTTATAGCGAATTGTACTTCTCTTACAACATTAATATAATGGGATAGGATTTATCGTACATATTTATCCCGGGGAAAAAGAAAGTCGATAAGACAGCTCAACCATATGGCAAACCACGGCCTCTCGTCTGGTCACCATTCCGTGCCGGGTATGAGATTACAGTAGTTAGTTATTTATTTTTGGAAGCATGGACTTGATGGTGGAAGAAGCCATATCCGACCAGTGGTTACATAAACCACCCAACGACGGCGAGGAGTCCAGCAATCCTCTTGCACATAACTATCCCAGCATGGGACCTGCGAACCCACGCAGAGTAATTAGAGGTGCGGGGCGAGCGTATTCTCAATGCTTAGCACGATGAGCCACACTGCTGTGCCATTAATGCATTTTATGTCAAATCCCCATAAATAGTATAGGTATATAGCAAATGAATTGGTATTTCTCGAAGTAATCAAATTCCCCACTAGTGCGACACATTGCATTGAAACACACAACACACACTGGATCAATAAAATAATAGACTACAGAAGTAGCGAAAGAATTTTTGTACATGAAATTGATTAAAATAACAAATCTTCATTTTCAGGAATTCACCTCCAATTATTCCAGCACGCGGTTATGAAGTTCAAGCCCATTTACCATCAAATGGTTCTTCAACTTTACCAGCGAAGTTTAGACAAAGCTCTAGTGGTGGGACGTCCAATCCACCTACATACAAAACACCTCCGCAGTATGGGAACTCAGTTTCAGTGAGAAGTGATGGACCAACTCCGAAACCTAGAACTAAGGTAAAGTGTTTGAATTTTTTCTGGACAGCATGAAGGCCTATTGGGTAAAGCTTTAGATATAACTGCGTTGAAATCACAGATACTCATTTGAGTCATTTCTGATTCAAATTCCATCATCCTAAACCAGAATGATTCCGGTATTTTCGAATAATAGTAGTTCCTTACATATTGTTAAACATCTGTGGCACAAATAAGCGTGGTTTGTTAAAAAATAAGCCAGAAGAAGCTGTGTTTGCATGGAAGATTATCAGGAATTTCATTCTCGTTCTTGTGAAAAGTAACATCATAACACTTAAATTTAAAACTCTTCTATTCTGATTTTCATTCCAAATAAAAGATCTCATATCAACTATAACATCAATTTTACTTCCAGACACCAGTCAAGGAACACAAAAGATCATCAAAAGAGAAAGGAAGCAGAAAACCCAAGTCTTCGAAACATGGTGTGGAAACTAAGCAACATAAACCAAAAATCACAGCAATTTCAGCAAGAGAAGATTTTGAAAGTTTGCTTGCCGCTGATTACGACATGACACATATGAAAAGTTCCGAAGACTTCAATGAAGAATTCCCACCGGTCTTTCCCGGGAATTACAGAGCAAATGATACTATTTTCGTTGATGACGTGATTTTCAGGTATCGCTCTCTACTTTTGTTCGATTTTTTAGTGAGTGCAATGCCGTAATGATTAGGTATTATAAGATCTAACTATGTCTCTGTGACGGTAATTATTCTGCGCTTAAATCACAGTCCTTCCAGAAACAGTAGCTTACAATATATCAGTGGTGTGCTTGTACAGTGGGGAAGTTTGTCAAAAAATAATAAAGTGCATCGAGAATTTGACAAATTTCATTAATCCTATCGGATCAAATGTAATTCTAATCGAAAGTACCTCTCCCAACAGAGGTTGACTATTTCCTAATCCTTCCGGAAGGCTTTTGCGCTAGTATATCCGTATGTATATAATGCAAGGATGCTGTAGCAGGAATAAAAATATCATACTATGCAATTCAAGAGTCCTGCTGCACAAGAACACAAGTGCATTTTTGTAACGTTTAGTCTGTTACGTTATAAAAATACATTTGTGTTGATGTACAGCGGGGCTCTTGAATTGCATAGCTCAATATAAATGTTTTGATTATATATTCCTGATTGTTATTGACAATCAATTTTGTTCTTCTGTGTATGGGTTTTTATCTGTTTTGTTTTTGTCTATTTCTACAGAGAGCAGCCAAGAATTAAAAGTTATTCTGACACTGATTCTTCCGACATGATGACGGATGAAGAAATTAATGAAATTAAAATTGGTGAAGAATTTTCACCTAATTCTATCGGTAAAATTCATTTATCAACATATATAAGAGTATATTTTTTTATGCGAAAATGCCATGTTTTATGGTAAAATCAAGTTGTCTATAACTTAGTGGAGAGACATTTTCTTCTTTATGATCAGCTATATCATTGAAGCCATTTTTTTCTCCGGGGAGAAAAGTCTATAAGACTGCTTAATCATATGGCAAACCACGATCTCTCATCCAGTCAAACTCTATTATTATAACCGTTCTTTGGATATATGTTGTATATTCTAGTACATTGGTTCTTAGCGTTTTTGATATATTTGTCGACATTGCTTAATTTTGAATGATGATACTCCGGCTTGGTTTGAACTGTTTTTATTGTTCACATCATTTTTAGTACAATAATACTAAAAAAGTGAAAAATATTTCAAATACTCGAAGAAATGAAAATTGAGGTTCCCTCCACCAGCACAATGAAAAATTTCCGGTACTCTCGTAGGCAATAATTTTATTCCGATTTTTCTCATTTCAGTTCTATTGCCAGTTTGGGGACTGTCTGTGTTAGGGTTAGGGATACCCCTAAGTGAATACACCCTTGCCCATAGGCTTCAGTCCATTCACACAACTTGATATAAAGTAGGCGAACAAAATTAGTTACATCCATATTGGTACATAATACTTCTGAATCGCCAAATTTTTACTTGGGGAAGTAGCCCTGACCATTCGAAATACAGTGTTCTAATGTGTAATGTTTATTTTCAGGTTACTCATCTGGCTTTGACTTAGAAATTCCTGAAGGATTTTGTTTTGACTCTGAAGGTGCGGAAACAAGTTCTGTTAAACATAAGAACAAGGGTGGCAAGCAAAGTAAGCATTTTGATAGAAAATAATCTATAGTAGTTCAGTAGTTATTGCCCATAAATTTCCTCAGAGATTTTTCACTTCTGAAGGAGTGCCTGTGTCCTTGCTTCGAGAAGTTTATTTTGGAAATATTTTTTCAACTGCAACCATTTTAGTGGGTGCCTCCAAATTTGCCCAGAAATCAGTCTTTTTTACTTCTGGGCTAATACATGGATCATGCTTTATGCAAATTCTTGGAAATAAAATTTTCAAACTGCAACCATTTGGTTGTTGCAGAACATGAGAAATCAATGTATGCATTGCCCTCTTCCCGATTTGGTTAGTTTATTATTTTTTGATTAGAGATACACCAATGTTATATCGGGGTGTCCAAAAAATTTCACCCAATTTTGTAGTGATAACAATTGAAAATGTCTTTGTCTTTGTTTATTAATAGTTCTTATTGCGCTTGTAGTTCTCATTTATCATACAATAAAATTTATTCAAACTTACAATTGTTATTACTATAAAATCGGGTGAAATTTTTAATTCTTATGGCTGTGGGGTTGGGCGAAATTACTTGGTCACCCTGTAGTTGCCTATCACCAGTGGAGGCTCGAGTTATTGACTGGAGTCACTATTTGTAGACTTAATGGCTCGAGTCATCTGAATGTATCGACTCTGACTCGTACTCAATTAATCACCAGTTAGACTAATATCAGTGACTTGACTCACGACTCAAGGTTTAGTGACTCTTACCCAACACTGCTTTCTACTAAATAATAAATAATATTCTCTCATCTTATTCTTTTTTAGAGTCTGCTGGTGTGAGAGCACAAAAAAAGAAAGTATCTGGCGGTGATAACAAAACAAAGACAAGTAAAAAAACATCAACAACTAAAGACACCCAACCGAAATCACGATTGTCTCCATTAAAACAGAAAGATCAACTAATCCTAACAACAATCGGGCCAGTGTCTCGGACTCGGCAACAATCAACCAGTCCAGATAGAAAACAGAAAAGCAGTCAAAAAATGAAAGGCACCGCTGGAAAAAATAAACCAAGATTATCCAGTAACAAAGTAGAAAAAGTCGTGCAACCTGTCAATTCAGCAATGCAGCAGTCTTCAAAATCCATGACATCCAACAAAACGATAAAGAAGAAAAATAGAAAAATTCAAGCCCCGTCAGAAGACAACTCGTATCAGAGAATTATATACCCATCTCATCATTGGCACACAAGACCAGAATTGGAGCGGAAAAAGAAAATGCATGATATTGGTGTTGGTACAAAAACGTCTGTGAAACAAAAGTCGATCGCTATCCAAACGCCGAAGCCAAAAAGTCCTGCAGCGCAGCCAATTTATTTTTTGAAACCGTTATCTGCTCAAGAAGTCTTCATAGATGATTCGTCTATTGCGAGTCACAGTGAAACCGATATGTCAATCGTCCACACGGCGGCTACGTCATCAGTTACATCTACGGGATCGGTCACTGCAAGGTCAGGGACATCTTGGTCAAGGTCATCGACGTATAGTTCTAACCCTGATCACACCGATCCCAGCGAAGTCGAAAGTGTTGCGTAAGTCTTCAAAAATGTGTTATATTTTGGTTTTGGTGGAATCGTCATTTGGTATGTTTTCACTGAAGTCCTATTATAATCAAGGTAACATCTGTATCTATCTGTAGAGGTTATGCGAGACTAACTCCCAATCCTTCCTTAATAACTTTGCGCTAGCGGATTCCTATGCGTATAATGCAAAGATTCTGTAGCAGGAATATAAATACCATAATATGCAATTCAAGAGTCCTGCTGCACACCAACACAAATGTATTTCTGTAACGTTTCGTCTGACCAAAATCAGACAGAAGATTCACTCTTTACATTTTACTATTTTACATTCTAACATGAATTCGTTTTCTATTTCAGCCAGAAGTTTGAAAGAAATTCAAGATTTTATGCCAGTAAACCAAACGAGCAACCATCCATCGCATCCTCAGTTGATTTTGAACCTGAACCATCAAGTAGGTTGAGGTTTTAAAAACATTTTATATCGTATTATTTGTGAATCTCCACAGAGCAGCACGGTGAATAACTGACTCAGATGGACTATTTTATAAACATATTAGAGAGAAAATTGCTCGTTCAGTCCAAGATCGGTTAGCAATTCGAAGATAGATTGAACGGAAACTAGAATAGAAAATTGGATAAATTAACTTGTATAGTTTTTCATTTTCACTGCAGCTGGTAGTCAGAACTTTTTTAGGCTATATTTTCGTTTGCTAGAATAATGTCGTGACAAAATGATTTGGTGAGAATACCTGTCTGTTTTGTTGAATTCAATCTGTGTGAATTTTTTTCCACATGCGACTGTTCTTCCTAAAAGTTATCCACTGCTGCCATCTGGATTGATTGGGGGTTACATAAAATTAGTCAGGTGATTAATTTGCTATTTTTTGACTGTTTCAAATCATTATAAGCAATTCAGCTTTCATTGTGACATCTTTGTCTAGAATATTTTGGTCTGTTATTAGTTATTTGTTTCAATACAGTTATTTTCATTTAGATTCCAGCTCCATCGGCCCTCCGTCCATGACACTCGGAGTGAGTGAGTCCATCCAAGCCTCATCGTACACTGGAAAAGGAGGAAAAGTTTTTTATTTCACAAGATCTCGTCACGGTTCTTCACCAGCTACGTCGATTCGAGATTCAAGTCAACCAGTGAGTTCTTTACCACCATCTAGGGGTTGTTAATTTCGACGACAAGGTTTTTATTATGAATACATTGTTTTTAGATCATCTCCCCAAGTGAACCGCAAATCCAACAAGAAGCAAGATTGAAATCTGAATCGCAAGTCTCGGTAAGTTTGAACTCATTGTATCAGTATGTGATGTGTCGTTATGGTTTATAAGGTTCTGCAGTTGGCATTATGTAAAGCATTAACAAAACGCTTGCTATCTCACTTCTCTGGTTCCTAGGTTCTAATCCTGTGGGGATATGCGAGAGGAACGACTCCTTGCTGCCGTGTGGCTGTTCATGGGTACTCTCGTTGTGTGTGTTGGGGTTAGACCATAATTTTATTTCGATGTTCCTTATTTTAGTTATCTTACGAGTGCGGAGACTGTCTGTGGTAGCCAAGTGAATATACCATACCGCCTGTCCATAGGTTTCAGTTCGTTTACCCAACTTGATGTAAAACAGGCAAACAGAATTAGTTACCTCCATATTGATACACACACTTTTAGAAACTGGTCAACTGTTTCCATACTCGACACATGTACTGGGAGCCCGTGGTTTGTCAAATGATTAGGCTTGACTTTCCTAATTGGACTTTTCCATGATAAATTTTGATAAGCATATCACGAGTATTTGAACTATATTTGTAGGATAGGATTTTCATATTTGATTTAAGGGAGAAAATTTTATGAAATATGTTATGATTTTAAGTAAAGTAGTTCTTAAATCATTATTTCATCGTCGAAGCCTTGTATTTTGTGAAAAAATCGATACTTAATTTTTTTTTTTAAATTTTTTACAGGAATCACAGTACTTCAACCCACTTGAAGTTGGGCAATGGGTTCTAAACTACGTTCAAGAGCATAAGCTTGCTGCACAGAAAAAAAATCAACCCAGTACCAAGGAGGAACCCACTGATCGAAGACCCCAAACTGTGCCTCCGCAAATAGAACATGCTCCTTTGAGAAAACAAGAGGCCTTTGATGCAGAAAACAAAAACAGTTACACGTCGCAGAAATCCAGTGTTCACATTGAACAACCACCAGTTCCCACACAGCAACCGAAGATAGTGCCTTTAACAACGGAAGCTTTATCGAAACATGAAGACAACAATACATGGACAGGGCATGATGTGGAAGACTCTGGAACTGAATTGTCGACCAACATCAGCTCCGATTTGGGTCCTTTTCAGAGAGAGCTAATTAAAACAAGACATAAAATACGGAAATACAATCAGAGGGATAAAAGCCCTGAACTTACTCACACTGCAGAAGAATACAAAGCACATCTTAAGCGATGGAACGATTCTCCATCAACGAACGTAGTTTTAGCAGAAGTTTGTGCAGTGACAGATGATGATATTGAGGACGCAAGACCTAAAAGTGATAAACCATTCAGTAAATACTCCAATGAGCCTGTTATACCCACATATGGTAGTCGGAATACCACCGTTGTTGGCAGCCATAACCAAATACATGAATCAGATTCTGACTCCGAAACAACGTTGTCTACAAATTCATCTGAAGATCACCAAAATCCACGGGAACGGTTAAGAGAATCTTTGCAAAGGAATCGACCTTCTCAACCTGGTTTAAATCACAATTATAGCAATGTACAGCCTATGCATAGTGAGAAACCAAATCAATCAGGAATAAAACTAAATGAGAGAGATTTACAGAATGCTGGAAATTTGGAAAAAATTGAAAACTTTCTTGACAATTTGGATAAAAATAATGCTTCAAGTTTTCAAAATCGGCCGTCCACTGTTTCACCTCCGACCCCTGATGAAGATTGGAGAATAATTGGCGCACCTATGTACCCGCCGACGCAAAAACAGAATTCTGTACATCATAATAACAATACATCTCAAATGGATCCGACCGTTCCTAGGCCTCACATGAGAAAATCGTCAGAAGAAACTATTGACATACCAGAGATGAATATTAAAGACCCGCACCTTCGCTTACGTTCAACGTCGTTGACAAATCAAAGTGAAACTGGATCTTGTTCAAGTCTCGTTGCTAACCCTTTCAATAAAATGGACAATGAAGAAATAGAGTCACTGGTTGAAAAAATCCCAAATAGAGGTTCGATGGGAAATATTGATTCAGAAAAAGATGTCATTGCTCAACTCGAAAAAAGTCGTCAATCAACAAAACGAGAATCCCTTGAAGAAAGAACGGCAAGAATTTTGGGAATTCACAGGAAAACATCGACGGATGAGAGCGATGGTGGAACGCCGACTAATACTCGTTCTGCTCAGGAAAACAAAAAAGACATCAATGCTTACATGAATAACCTGTTAACAGGTGCCGCTGACGTGTCACCTGCAACTCGTCAAAAATATTTTGCGTCTGGAATGGCCGATAAAACACCCATTCCAGTAAAAAGTTCCCTTGCAGCAAATTCATCTAAAAAGTTTCCATCGCATGAAAACTTGGAAGCAAATAAAAATGGTGAAAACCCGTCTCACTTAGAATCAAAGGTATTTTCAGCTTGATAGTATTGTTTTCAGGGGATACATACCAGTATACTGGAAGTAATATATTATTTCACCTATTTTGAGATTGAATTAATCTCCAAACGGACAACGTGAAGACTCATACTGGTCAAAAAAGTTGCTCTACTCACCTCGGTGGCCGGATTGTCTGTCTACCTTAGATACACAAATCTTTTTTTCTTCAAATACTTTTTTATTTTTATTTAGAGCCTTGATCATTTATTCAGTGACCTACTCTCTCAAGTGTCAAAAGTTCTATTCACTCTTTGAGTGTCGTTAAATTATTTCAATAAATTTGGATTTACAAAACATATCTAAGTAACGAATATAACATTATCTTAAATGGAATTATTGGTACTCCTGAAGTGTGTGTACCAGGTTAGGGTTATGTCGTAATTTTACTCCGATTTTCCTTATTTTAGTTCTATTACAAGTTGGGGGGACTGTTTGTGTTAGTCAAGTAAACATACCCCCTGCCCATAGGTTTCAGTCCCTTCACACAACTTGATGTAAAGTAGACGAACAAAATTAATTATCTCAATATTGGCACACACACACACTCCTGGAACACCGAATTATCTTCTGTATATTTTTTATTCAGCAATCAGTCGAACACAAAGAATCTTCAGATGACGATGATGACATGACTTTGACTGAATCGTTTTCAATCAACGTCAGTGATTCTGTGATGGAAGCAAGCGTAGATTGTAAAGTTCGACTAGAAAAGAAAGTTCCTTCTTCTCAGCCTACAGAGTATAAAATCCCTGACTACGTCGATGGTCGCTCCAGTGGTAAGAAGGCTTCGTTGCTGTAATTTAATAAAATATATGTTGTTTATTCAAATGCATGTTTCCCTAGCCTTCGACCAGTGGTGAGCTGTATCCTGTACGCACCACATTTGCGTCCCTGTTGTTCAAATAAAATTAGGTCATGGAAAGTTTAGTTTCCCCGATGAACATGTATGTTTTGTAATGCCACAATTTTTTTTACATCGCAGCGGATAAATAATGTAAATATAATACATTTTCACAAATTAGTTGCGTTCCGGTTGTTACGATTTTTCCAGCTCATCATCACTGCCCTTGACCAAGGAAAAATTCTTCCTATGCATTTCAAGTGTTTTTGTGGAATGATGCTTAAAAACTGGTGTACATGTTCATAACTATAATTTTGATCCAACATATCAAACTACCGTTCATATAAAAGTATTGATAGCTTTTCCAGGGCTAATTTTGATACCAGCAGCTATAATAGGACGACAAAACGGCCATTGAGTTATTTCATTTATACTTAATTTCTGGAAACATAACTGTAAACTGACAAATATTTAGCAGAACAAGAAAACTAGCTAGTGTCTGAGTGGCTGCTCCATAGAGTATTGTGGAGTGAGACCGAGTTCTATTACGAGTTCGGGGATCGTTTGTGTTAGCTGAGTGAATATACCCCCTGCCCATAGGTTTTATTCCCTATACACTGTAAACTGACAAATATTTAGCAGAGTACAAAAACTAGCTAATGTTACATGTCTGAAAAGTGATTGGCTGCTTTGTCAGGTATTGTGGAATGAGCCATTTTTATGGATACTCCCGCAGGGTGTCTACCACTGTACCAGGTTAGGGTTAGGGTATAATTTTATTCCAATATTCCTAATTTTAGTTCTATTACAAGTTTGGAGACTGTCTGTATTAGCCAAGTGAATATACCCAATGGCTTCAGTCCCTCTACACAACTTGTTGTAAAGTAGGCGAACAAAATTAGTTTTCCCCATATTGCTACACACATTTCTAGAGCACCGAAAAAAGTATCTGATTGCTTCGTCAGGTAATGTAGAATGAGACTTTTTTTTGATTTTATTGAATGACATTTTTAGGTCCGGTGTCACCAAGCAGAGGCATGATGTCACCCAGCCAAGGCATGATGTTGAGTTATGGTGCCAACATTTACGCAGAAACACCAGGGTTTCACAAGCAAGATAGTTTTGATTCAACAGATAGTGATGAACCAGACTTTATTCCGTCAATGCCTGTTTCATCTGAATATAAACAGGTAAATTGATGATAGTCATGTGTGATGCTTGTTTCCCGCTTTTTTATGGGTTATTTTTGGAAATTCAATCCAAATCCAAATTTGGAACAATGGTTCTCAAACTTTTCAAGCCGCACCCCCTTTTTAAAATAAAAATAACTAGCCAACAATATGCTACTAATAACAGAGAGTAGGCGAAAGTATGTTTCATTCAAAAGAATGTTAAAAATATGTAGATAGAACGTAAATAATGAAATGTTTGAATTTGTTGTTATTTATAATTTGTTTGTTGCAGTTGTTTTTGGCTGACAAAAAAAGTTATGTGAATATCTCAAAAAAGATGGCAAGATCGAATCTAACAAATATTTTTATTTTTAATTAGCTTCACACCCTCCCACAAAATTGTATACTTGAGGGGCCCGCCCAATCGTTTGAGAACCACTAGTTTAGAAGAATGAAATTTTTATTGTGCTTTAAACCAGGGCTACTCAACTGGCGGTCCGCTGTCCGAATCCGCCCCTTTCGAGTATTTAATTCGGACCGCACCAAATTTTTTAGTTTGGATCATTAGCCCCACTTTTAAAGTTTCATTTTATAAAATGACTTTTATTGTTTTGAATATATATATAAAGAACTATAACACCATAATGAACAATATTGATTAGCTGATAGCATTATCCGGTCGAGGAAGTAGACGAACAAAATTAGTTACCCCCATAATGGTACATAGACTTCTAGAGCGCCCAATTTGATCGATCAATTCAGTTAATTAATTTTAATTAATGCAGGTGCAAGATGACCCAGTGTTAAGCAACCACTACTATGTGACGAGCTATTACTTTTGAAATCATCATCGTGCCCACAATGTATCAATGTTCCATTCAAACCAGATATTTAATTTGTTTCGATTCGTATGTCTGTACCTTCGTTGAGCTTTGAAAGAATTAAATTCTTCTTCTAGAATTTTGCCAGAAGTGAAAGTACTGACCAAAGAATGCAAGATTCGCCAGTTCCGATCTCAGTCAACAGTCCACCTCTTACAGAGAAAGAAATGGACATTGTGAGAGAACTGGTGTCATCTAAGACTAATTCTGTTGTTGGCAGTGCCGGTGGTAACAAACATTATATTTTGTCAATGCTTAATTATAAATGATGTATCAATTTCCTGTGATGATTGGCATTGTCGTAAAATCATGTTATTGCGTCGTTAAATTGAATAATTAATAATATAAAAATTATGAGTTATATTTCGGGTGATTCACAAAAGTTTAAGAATAAGAAAATTTAACTGTTATATTATGTCAAATCTCAAGTACAAATTGGTGTTAAATAGCAGTATTCATATACCTTGATTTTCTAGAATTTTGCGGCCTATTTCAATATCTTGTATTTTTGTTAATATTCAACTTTGAATTTGGTAAATCCTGATATTGGTAAGGTTTATTAAAAAGATTGAAGTCATTTAAAAGGGTATGAAGTTCATGAAGAATAGTTGACTTAAGGATATGATTTCAATATTTAACCTGAGGGAGAGGAACGACAAGAAAATCTAAGCCTATGACAGGTCATGACCTCTAGTTGGGTTATCAGTCCAAGGCAGGGGCGGACACCCGGGGGGGGCGAGGGGGGGCGGTCGCCCCCCCAATAATTTCGCAAAAAAATTTAATACATGTTGTTTCCGCCTTACAAAATTATCATTTCCGAAAAGTGCGATAGTCAAGCGCAATTAAACGGTTAATAGTCACAGATATTATAACTGTTTTCTCACAATAATGTGGACCAGAGCGTCTTCGGAGCACCTCACATTTTCGTGAAACATGCGAGCCCGCACGGGTAATACTCCGTCTTCAAACGCACCGCCGATCACGCGCCACGGTTTTGCACAACTAATTCATTTTTGTACAATTTACTATGATTTTCTCATTGTCAAAATCTTTCAATAGTGTTATTGTTGGCACTTGCGAGAGAAGTGAAAGAGGCAAACTGTGTTCATTACAACAATTAATTATTATCGCTAAAAAATTAACTAGATCTAAAGTTGTTATAAACAATTTTCACCGCTGGACGTATCTTCTCACGTTATGGATTTCGTGCAAGGCCCAGCATAATTTGCGGGCAAAGATCAGAGCATTTACTATGTCGAAAAGTTGAAAAGCGGCAATATAAAATACTAAAAATAAAACTGTAAACAATATAGGTTTTGTTGAGGCCCGCGACAGTCTAAAACGCTTTTCTAGGCATCGAAAATCGCAAAATTTCACAAATTATGTTTGCTTGACCTTTAAAAACATTTCGTCACTAAAAACGAAACACGGTCAATTGTGAGCGGGATTTCCCTTTTATCCATTACTTTTAAATTGACGTCGAAAATTTTCGTGTTAACATTAAACAAAGCTGACAACGCGACTTTTCCCCGGTTTATGATAATATATAAAATAATTAAAGTATTTTCGATCACTTTTTATATTTATTTATGTATTTTTATTGTACTGAAATAACTTTTACTACGTGAGAATTGACAAAAAATTTATGGTTTTTTCGAAAGGTTTTATCTTTAAAAATAATCGGAGTGACAACATTGCGATTGGTGCCAGTGTTACAAGTAAATCTCAAATTTATCGAATTCGCAAAATAGCAAAATTACGGATCAAAACAATATATAAACGGGCAGTTTACCACACATTTTTATGTCCGCGGATTGCCGCCGTGTGTTAGAATGGCTCTTGTTTTGTCGACTCAACCGTAGTTTAAATTGAAGACAATTAAAATCATAAATCAAGACATTTTGAATATGCCCGTATCGGTCTTTGATTGATTACTTTGCACAAGTGAAAAATCATTTTTCGTTGATAACGTCGGCTCTTTTAACAAGTGGCGTAATCGCGGCGACTGTTCCGCGTGGATTTCGAGGCGGTGAATTTGTATTTTTGATTTACTAGTATAATTTATAATTATTTTCATTGTATGAAGTAAAATTGTACTATATGGGATTTTATATCAGATATCGAGATTTTTGTAACGGCGATAACGAGTTCGGAAGATTGCAAAAATACGTATCAAAATTAAATACATCAGGCAGCTTATCTCATATTTTTATTTCCCCATATCGCCGTGGTACTTTAGTTTAGTAATATTTTTATTTTGACCTAAGAAGTCGCAACCGCGAGTTACGCTGCACACAATTAAATTAATATGTAAGGACATTTTAGAATCTCGTGGCTGTCATGGATCGACAGAAAAAACATTATACGCTTAAATAGGCGGCTCTTTTAACTAGCACGTAATCGCGGTGCTTGTTGCAGACGGCAATAGGAAGTTCCGACCTCAAATTTGTTATTTTCTGTTTGTTAGCAAGAGCCGTGGGCTAATTCTCACGGAATTCAAGAAATTGGTTCAGTGACGCGCAAGTTCCGTGTCCGAGCAAAGCAGCCTAGGTAATCGATATATGAGTAGCAAAATGAAATGCTAATACTTTGAGAATGACATTGACAGGTTATTGTTACGTGACGATACACGGCGCGGTGTTTTCGGTAGGCGATCCAAGTTCGCCCCCCCAAAATTATGGAAAGTGTCCGCCCCTGGTCCAAGGCAGGCATGGGAAAAGCTAAATAATCCTTACAAATATGGTCTTTGGGGGTGAAGTAAAACACACCGATCAGTAGGGGTGGGCAAAATCGAATATTTTTTTCGAATCGAATAGTTCGAATATTCTTAACGGATACCGAATAGTCGAATACCGAATATTTTTTATACACAACAGGAGGTCTACAACGTCGGTCGATACTCCCTTTGGAAATTAATAAAGACATTGAAAAATCGGCTACAAAGCGGTTTTTTACTGGTTAATTTCGTCATAATCGCTGATTGTATGTAAATCCTATCCTGTTTTTGTCACCGTGACCGTTTTGCGGCGATATATAATCTATAATACCGCCCTTTCTGTTATTTACAAGTATTAATTCTTTCGGGTCGGCGGACATCGACGTTTATATTTCGGGTTTACCCGTGCGTCCACGTCGGCAACAGCTGTTAAAATCATTTAGGATTGATGTAAAAAGCCAAATTAATTTTATTATCATTTCTATCATTTGCGTTGGCTTTCATATTACTTATCAACGTTTGTAAATTTAAGGTCACATTATTAAGCGATCGGTAATATTATTATTGATACCGGGATGTAGATATTTATTAAGACAATACCGTAATTAACTTTGCTATGCTTTTCTGTGGTGTCTATGTTACTTTACAGATAAACTTCGCAAAGCTGAGATTGCGTCAATCCCGAATGTTTATTTAAAATAGTGACTAAATAATTCGACAATAAAGGCATTTCTGCGTGGCCATGACGAGATGATGTTAATAAACAGCGCTACTTGAATAATAATTTACATATGCGACCTAATGCTGAAAAAAATTGCGCTTTTTTACTTTTGTGCCTAATAGATGGCCAGGCGCTAATTATAACTAACTCTTCCAAGTTCCGACGTTTTCTTTTAACGCTAATCACTAAAGAATTATTTGAAAGTACATTAAAAGAACTATGTCCTGCCATTTCTTTCCTGGTCATAGTTGTTCGTGTTATACTATGTATGGTTTCACGCAAAAGTTAATTCAACTTTTAATTTTCGTTAAACAAATTTATGTTTGGTTCATGTATGAAACGACTAATCACGTACCGCCAATCATACGGAGTTTAAAATCTGGAATATTTATTTTAAATACCTCATCTGATTAAACGTTTCTAAATTTAGGGAACGGTGTCGGTACCTCTTGTGCAACATAGGGAATTGAAATGAACGATCGAAATGCGAAGAAAACAAATAACACCACAACGCAAAGACGATTTTTCAAATTTGTCGCTTTTGTCTCTTAGCGAGCGTTGCAGGTGAATTCTCGCGCAATTCACGATCGGTTCAGAGACGTTCTGTGTCCAAGTGAAGCGACGCAGATCACGTGGTACCCGATATTCGAATAGTAAAATGTCATTCGAATAATTTAATATTCGATTCGCTATTCGTTATTCGAATATTTTGCCCAGCCCTACCGATCAGTAGCTGAAAAGTTTAACAATTATCTTGAAAGTATTCGAACTTGTGAATCCCTCTGAGGTAATCAGCGATGGCAATTCATATTATTGAGTCCTTATTTATACCAGCTTAGTCAAGCAATTATTATTCTACTTTTTCTTGTTACATAATTTACTAAAAACAAAACAGCAAAAAATTCTTTATACTTCAGACATGTCTCCTGTGGCAAATGATGATGCAATACATCAAAGCAGAAGTTTGAGTTTACCGAGCTCACCCAGATCAAATCGATCTTGGAGTCCGAGCAGAGAATTAGCTCGGGACAAAATTGCGAAATCAATCGGGTTTACTTTGCCAAATCAAAAATCAGATCCTCAAGATGGCACAACTGAGTCCCTACATTCCAGCGGCGTCATCAATTCAGAAGAATATGACATCAAAATTTTGTCACGAGATAGAAATAAAAATGACGATATGATGGTTTTAGGTACGTTAAGTAGAGTTGTTCAAAATTCAAACGAAATTAAAGTTTACGTTAATGCTCCGGATTGTGAGGATATTACTGAAGTTGAAATTTCTCACAATATTGTTATAACTCAAAATATTGATACAAAATGGACAATTGTCAGAAAGTTCCTTCAGAATGCTTTATTAAATGATATTTGTATAATTTTTCTCGTAATATTGTATCGCTTGTTAGGTGTGGTGTTTCTAGGCGATGGCCATGTAATTTAAAAATATGTCATTTAATCTTTATTTTAGTGAGGCATGAAACGTTTGATTGTTTTTTACTTGATTTTGTTTATTTATAACCTAACACAATTTTTCCGCTTTATGGCAATTCCCATAGATACTATGATTTATTAAACAAATCATGTGCTTTTACTGAAGCCATAACCAATGTTTACACAAACAACACTGTGATTGCAAGAAGTCCAGCTTAAATTTTACACATAGTCATTCTCAAAGTAATTTCAACGCACACTAAGGCAGGAGTGTGCAACCTGCGGCCCACAAGTATGAATTGTGCGGCCCTCGAAACGAGTTTTTAATTTAGTTTAATCTAGAATGTGCGAGTATTTTAATTTCTTCCCTTGCAAAGCATATACCTGAGCTTGTGCGAAGCGAACAACTTAGTCATAAGATCGATGAACAAGTCACAAGTCGAGTCAAATGACATTCGACTCGAGTCAATTACTGGCTCGAATCTAACTAGAGATGACTTGAGCCATTTCAAGACTTTAATAAATGGCTTTGACTTGAGACTCCCCAACACTGGCACTAACTATCTACCTATCAAGTCTGTGCATATGTTTTCTTTGTTTATTATTTTATTTGCATGTATACTAACAATATTATTTTTGTTTATTTCATTTAATAGGGAATACACAACATCCTAACAAAGATGTAGCCAATGCATTGCAATCGATTGGACTCAAACCTGAGGAGTCGTGGGTGATGTCAGTCTGATGTGACAACTTGAATAATCACTGGTTATTCACTGCATGGATGAATCGTTTCAGATTCAGATACTTATTTTCATTGTGCAGGAATCAATGCAGGGCTGATCATTTTTTTTATTTTTGTGGGCCATTCAACATTCTATTTATTCAACTTACATATATATATATAAATGTATACTCTCATATTTCTGTGGACTATTTAACATTCTATTTAATTATGGAAAAATGTTTGATTTTAATTTTGGAAAATTTGGTCTTTCATTGCTGTTTTTCATCAACTGCCAAGTTTCAACATTGTGAAATAAAATGGAAAATAGGCAGATCTTACTAATTTAGCTCTATTTTTTGTTTGTAAATGTCTAAAAATTACCGGTATTGTGTTCTTATGTTTTGATAGATTCTCATACTTTTTTTTTGATTAATCATAGAGTAGTCAACCAGTAGATAAAAGAATTTTATAACTCAAAACACCTCAAAAAGTCTTCATATTTTGAAATCTGTAAATATATGATTTCTTCAATATTGAGTATAACTTACATATATATAAATGTATACTCACATATATCTGATTATAATCATAGTACACTTAAAAACAATACATTTTCGTTATAAGATTTATTCTTTATTTTGAATCTTCACAATTTTGTATATTTCAAGACTTCAATATGATTTTTACTTATAAAACTTCAATTATGGTATTATTATTAGCTGGATGTCAGTGTGGTAGAGCTGTGAATGGTGTTGGTACATTTTTTTTTAAATCGATGCAAATTTTATGTATTATATGTAATTTGTGTTATGTTTCCGATTGTGTATTTTACATATATTTTATTTTGATTTAGTACAAATTCAAATTACATGTCAAAAAGTGTCCATTCGTATGCAGTAATATCTTTCTCAATTTTCTGTAAAAAAATTATACTGCCCCAAAAAGGTAAGATGAATTAATATTTTGGCTAATCAATTCCAATTGCAAGCAAAATTGTTGTGATAACCTCAATTTATACCAACTAGTATACAGTATATAGTTTGATTCTTAAAGCAGGTTAACAGGTTTTATGATTTAATAACTGGGCTACCCTGTATATAGAATGCTGAAAATATTTGGTTGGACCCCCAGTTTTGTCCTTCCTATGTCTGTCTGAAAAAAGTACTGTCACTTCATAACTTTTTCTTATAATAGTGTTTATAAGTCCAAGCCTTTTTCAATTAATAATAACCAATCTCCTCTGTTCTGTAATACAGTACTGTCTTGCATCAGTTTTTCTGGTACAACACTGTCTGAGGAATAAAATCTATTAAAGTTTTTTCTTCCTCACTGGAACCAGATACATTTATAGCATACTTGATGATATTTCTTGTGTGCACACTATTTCTGTATTCTTTGTATCATATTCCACAGTTCCATTTATGTTGTTGAATGTTATTTACACTTTTTTATATATATCTCTGTAAAATATGAGTCCAGTCCAGTATGTGATATGCTTATTTATAAAATAATTCCGATATTGTGATCAGTGAAATTAGTGATAATTAATATCTGCTATATTACTATTTATTTACTGGAATCACAATTTACTTAACTGCAATTGATTCATATTTATCTAACCCAGGGATTCTCACCTTAAATCGGCGCTCCAGAAGTGTGTGTACCAATATGGGGGTAACTAGTTTTGTTCGCCTACTTTACATCAAGTTGTGTAAAGGAACTATGGGCAGGAGTATATTCACTTGGCTAACACAGACAATCTCCGAACTCGTAATAGAACTGAAATGAGGAAAATTAGAATAAAGTTATAGCCCTAACCCTAAGCTGGTACACATACTACGAGAGTACCGAGTTATATTATCTCACCCAGGGCTTCTCATCTTAAATCTACTTCTATTAGACATCATGGCTCTGTATAATTTTTCTAGCAATTGACCACTGCAAACCTATTATATGTATTCTTCATCCCTGCCTGTAATCATTTTTTACAAGTATTTTTATATTCTGTTATTATATCTTTGTTTGTAATTCATAAACGCATATCAATGGCGCTTTTAACGGAGGAAAAAAATATAAAATATGAAATATAAAATCGCAAGGCTATAGAAAAACTTCTTGCAAAAATGAAGGGTGAGCCTGCAAGTCAAAAATTCTCAGTTTGCAAACTGAGATTTCCTTCTGCGAGAAAAATCATTACATTCCCTTGTTAATAATTATTCGAGAACTATCCAAGCGGGTTAGTCATTATTATTGCATTTATCTGATGTTTGATTTATGATATGACATAATAGGGTTGTGTGTATCTTGTTGATTTTGATAATACTTAGCAACTCTCACCATACATAAAGCAGAACAAGCCAAAGGCCGCCTGAATTTTTAATCTTCTATTTAGAGTTTCTTGCAATGAGGTTCAAAATACCAGAAACCTTTGGATTTGTGAAGTATTCTCGATTTAATTTATTGATGGACCTCCCAGGACGCTATCATAAGCATGCTAACATATGAGTTCTAACTACAGAGCCCCAACACACATTTATAAAATGATTTTATATCAAATTGTTAATGTTCCCAGAGTTGTGAAAACTAGCAATTATTTTTTCATAATAAATTCTCAGTTGTAACTCAATCGCTAATCCCCATGCGTGAACAGATAATCCAGATTATTGTTTTCTTTCATTTCTGTAACTATTATAATGATAACATAGCTAGCTGCTTGTTCACAGGTATTAAGAACTCATCTCATTCAATCAGATGCTCTTTCATTTCACTACCACTATTACTGTGTGCAATCACAACACTGTTTTAATTGAAAGAAATAATAATTATTTTGCTGCTTTATTGTTGAATATATTTTTCATACTTCATCATTAATACAAATCAGATAATTGGTACATCTGTGTGTCTTTATCTACTCAGTTGGAGATATGGCTCTGATGCCTATATTGATTTTTCCAAAAGTTGGGAAATTGGCGCAATGAAAATTCTCTGCCTCTGCCCAAAGAATAATGAGTAGTCAGTCAGTAGTTAGTTGTCAAGTGTGTTCCTACCGTTTAGTTGTGCCAGCTTTCGAAAATTTAGGTCATGCGTTTAGGGCAGGGTCTTGTTTCAATTTTCTTCTGAATAATAACACTAGGGCTTATTTTCGAGGGATGGCTTATATTTTAATTTATCAAAATCAAAATTACAAAGTGAAGAAATACGAGATTTTCAAATATACAAAATATAAGAATCACTTTTTAAATTCAAGCTAGGTCTTATTTTCAGGGAAACACGGTATTAGATTTCTTTAAGAGTGTTGCTCCTCGATAATTAGCATTGGTTTTTCGCGTCTATCTTCACCCAGGAATATGATATTTTTAGTTTATTCTTACATTCTGGTTCTTTTCTACCACGATGGAAAAATAATCTTCTGAATACTGGTATCATTCACCATTTAAATCCGTACCTCTGCCACGATTTTTTTTAAAAACCCCGGAGCCAGACAATGTATTTATCTATCTGATTTTTCAATCTTATCACTACTTGACAACGGGAGACCGAGCAAATGGCGTCTTAATTCATATTTCAGATGATTCCATATTACTGGCGTGCCGTCGTATCGGATACCCCGAAAAACAATTGAGAAACATGAATTCAAGTGCCGGTTATGGATTAAAAATGGACGTGATAATCAAATGTATACAATGGCAGGTGCAAGGGCCCAGATTAGGGCTAGAGTGATAAGAAGTGAAAAGGGGGTATGGCGCGTTAATCGCTCCGTGAAAGCGTGATCGTTTAATCCGTTATCGTTATCCACGAAGTTCTTAAATATAATTTCCTTTTAAGATGTTTGCAGGGAAAATCGGTTAAGATGAGACGAATGAATGGGAATGGAATATAATCTTATTCTTCATAGCCTCAGTAGCTTCGCAGAGATCAGACCCCAAAGATTTATATTATATTGTCGCACCAATGTCATTGAAGATTTTCGCGCTAAGAAAAGAGGCAACGGCATTGGATTGAATATTCTATTTTAGACATGAAATGCTTCTAATTGAAGGAAATATGATTTTCAAACCGTGCCAATAACCGAAACACTGAGTATCTTTCAAGATTTTAAGATTGATGTATTTTATTGCCGAAGAAAACCTTTGGACGGCTAAAATTTCAGAAAAGCACGAAAATTAACCCGTTTAATAATGATTTTTGTAAATCAACTTAATTTCTCGCAAAATCCTTTCAAAACGACTTCATAAAGCTAACAAAGTGACTTGAACGTCAACGCAGACGACACGACGATGTAAATGAGAGAAGCAGCTGGGCAAGTTAATTATGATGTCATCGATCAGCTGATCTTGTCCCGCTTCTCGATGAAGCATGCGGCGGGAAAAACGAAACGAGAGCGGGAACAACTAACGCTCTCTCGTGTTTCTAAAGCTTTTTACTTTTATTTTTTTAACTTTGCAATCATTAGTAGGTTTGTGATTTAGGCGTTAGCTCATCTTTTCTATCGCCGTATTTTGGTCTTAGAGCAGTGTTAGCATCTGATATAATTTTACTTCTGTTTGGGTTTTACTGATGTTTAAATTAGGATTCATATTTTTGATATAATGCTCTCGCATTTTTTATATTCGTCATTGCTGCGTTTACCAGTGCTATCATTACTGCATTATCTTCCGATCCTTTAATTGGGAGTTTGTCACTTTCGCCTGTAGATTATGCATGTTACAGTGTCTTGTAACGTTTAACATATCTCGGTGTTTTGTAGCGTTTTCTATTCCCTGTTAATAATCTTTATTGACATTATTTATTATTGCAATCATTACTGTGTTAGTCTGTTGGTAAGGCTGTAAGGAGACACCTTCTGACTTTGGCCAGTTGGCGATTGCATTACTAGATCATTCTGTCATTAGATACTGTAAAGACTGAAAGAGGTGGCAGTTTGGATTTGATTGACAGGTTGAACTGTAATTTTATTCCAGGTTTATTTTAAGAGTAATAAAATTGTTTTATTGTCAAAATTTTTATTCTTCAGTCTT